ACAATTTGACTTTGCAAAATAATATGATGGCTAGCAAGTCTTTTAAAGATTAATAATAGCACTTACAGGTCGGGATTTGAGAAAGGAATATGTTGTATGAGGCCACTAATGTGGGAACTCCCTTTAGAATTCGGAACACAGAAGTGACAAAGTGAGGCCCGGTAGGCAGTGGGTTCTGTCCCTAGGCCGGGAAAATCAAACTCCTTATAATGTTAGTTGGTATTTCCTGCGACCGGATGGGATACTGTGGTAGGCGCCTTCGGCATGTGATTTTCAGTGAAGTAGCATTCTTAGGTCGGCATTAGGATAATATACAACATTTGATATAGCGTCCTATCTCGCTAACATAAGCCACTCTAAAGCGTTTTACACTGCATAGATATGCAGTTAATACAATTAGCATATACATTAATTAATTCATTTTTTTGAGGAATTCGCATGAGCTGCCTTATCGGGCGCTAACTACTAGTCCTATGCCACCTGGCGCATATCTCCATATGTGTGTATGCCTGCGTGTGTGCTGGAGATGTATTGTGTTCTGTTTTGTAGTGGGACCGTGCTTCCAACGGCATCTTTTATAGTGCCACCTCACTTGAATGCTACAGCACAGATACCGCAACCTCCACCCCAGACCATTGTATACTCCACCTGGGTTGTTGGAGTTGTGTATTAGTACATAAACATACACTGCCTCCAGCAAACACGCATACATAACGCACATCATGCAAAAGGCACGTCCTTAAATGACTGAAGCTGTTAATCAGACGGTATGTATAAATTTAACAGCAAATCTACAGAATCAATAGTTATTAAAAGAATATTGGGGCAGAACGTTTGTGAACTGCAAACTTTTATGCGATTTTTGTCCCGTGGAACTTAGTCTTGTAAGTTTTGCCTTTGAAATCGGACTGAGGAGAGTTTCTGAACTGCATATATNACGCACACTATGCATTGTATATTGTATATATATATATATTATTGCCCTTATATCATCGCGATTTTTGTCCCGTGGAACTTAGTCTTGTAAGTTTTGCCTTTGAAATCGGACTGAGGAGAGTTTCTGAACTGCATATATATATATAAACATTCTCGGACACCTGTACTGCAATGGGAGCTTTACAATGGGACGGATTCTTGTTTCAATGTTTGTTTCACGTCATTTAATGTAGCGTTACACTGTTTTTAACTTGTCGGTTTCCATGAAGCTATTTTCAGTGACGAGGATGTGCCTACATGTGTCTGTCGATTCGGACAAATAACGACAACTGAGCCATGTTTGAAAATTTGGTAAATTCAAATTATGAACAAAGAAAAGAAGCAAACCGGAGAGAAAAACAACAGGAAGAGTATAGTAAGCTATCGTTTTAATTTGTAACTGGAAGCATACTGCAATATCAACGCTATCCTATTGTTTTTCTTTGCCAAGTGTTTTTTTAAAGTACGTAGTTATAGGTCTAGTATAAATAAAACTCGTTCTAAAGCATTTTACTGTTTCTGTACGGTTCGACCAGATTCTTCTACGAAACGGATGCACGCCCCAGGATGAAATATCTATTTTGACCAGAGTTCGGCGAAGATCAAGTCTGAGCTTCCTTGAGCATTAGGCGTGATTCTTTTATCCCAAACTCTCGCATCAATAGAACTTTGCTTGCGTGAAGTCTGTATTGTTTGTTTAAACAAAACCCGCAACTGTTTCCCGAAATGCAGACTCCTATAATATACAACATATCAGATAACATTGGGTTACCGTTCCCATGCACCATGACAGTCGTCTGCAACGGTGGTCGTCTGCTATATATGTGTTATGGCCAGTATTTTTGTACTGTAGAACAGTCCCATACTCGCCAATTGTCTTGGCCTGCTTTCCCCGTCCGTTTGTTTCCAATTCATAAAAAAAAAAATGTAAGACAGCAGCACTAACGTGAAAAGACAAAAAAAGGTAGGTGAGTTTTATTGACCTGTTGGGACGACATTTTATTATTTCAAGGGGCGCTTTATAGGGAAAGGACAATATCTGTTACAGTTGATTTGAAACCCACATCCATCATTTAAAGGTAAAAAAATCAATTTCTTTTTTTTTCTAAAATCGATAAAAGCTGGCTCCAATACATTCCTTTGTATGCAAGTTCATGTAACACAACCAATACACTGTATTTGTGTGACATTTCAATGGCTAGTGCGATACGTACCCTGTCACCTTCATCTGACAATTCACCGGCGTACGAACTGGCAATAAAATCACTGTTGTGTTGTTGTTCTGGAGTATGGTCATGATCTTGCCCTCATAATCGTCGGCGACTATGGCGACGTACCATTATGGGCTGGTAATGACGTAAAAGATTCGTCTCTGCTCATTTTTTAAACGTGCGATCCGTTCATCTTTCGTCATATTGCTTGGTATATATTATTAAGCTTGGTGGATTCCAAAACCGCCGTCGATTCGGCTACGCTATAAGCGCATGTACATTTAACTGGTGTTATATACATGTATGAAATGATGGTCAAATCGACTATTACACTTGGTCATAGACGAAATTCTGTTTCAAAACAACTATTTCTGTACGGTTTTATATTGAGTTAATGGTTATACATGTATATCACACGGTAAACGCCAATCCTTGCCGTGTAGTTGAGTTGATGCGGTGGTAAATCGGCATAAATCGCACTTCTGTATATAATTAATGAAGAACCTATACCAATTCGTTTTCCGGACAAAAATGGCACTTCGAGTAGCATTGTTCACAGGGACTTGCGAATTTGATACTGCTATATTTGGACCTAAACTAAGGTGTTCAGAGTAACTTTACACGTTTTAGGGGTTTAGATTATTTCGGTAAAATGCCTCTCTCATTGGGGGATGGCATGTTTACCGAAAGTAGATATAAACCTCTTAAACCTACATTATTCTGAACACATTAATTTAGGTCCAAATATTGCTGTAACAAATCTCAAGTCCCTGTGGTATTGCTCTTTACATGAGCATTGTGAATATGGACTGGTAACTAGGAGAGTATTTGTAACCTCTAGCACACGTTATCAGACATCGTTAAGATGTTTCAAATATATCTTTATGAAACCGTTTTTGTACAAAGATACCATTGAAAGGTTGATTGAAATTCATTATTGCTTTGCCTTGACAGGTTCCTATTTCAACCCGCTCAAACATTGCATTGACTCTTCTCTCGGATCTGAACGGCATCTGTCCTGCCAACTCCTCGTCATATTTCTGTTGAGCTTGAGGAGGTCTGAACGCATTGATGGTAGCAGTAACTGTCCTAACAATGATAGATGTGGGTTTGCAACGAACTTGTCGAATAGTTTCCACTTTTCATATGTCAATGACAACTACTCTATGTAGTTAATATAACTTTGGCAACTACTTTGGCGCTGGGTACGGAATATAACGTACTCAGCGACTGAAAGTCTAACAGGATCAATGTTAATAGTAGTTGCATGCCCCTGTGGACCGAGTGGCTTCTTCTGAAGACCGTTGTTGCATTCCCTTTGTAAAGTCGCTTAGCTTTTCGCAGTCTAGCCATGCATCTTCGTGGAAAACTCGGTCAAATGGGCAAACACTATCTAAGATCACCCAACTAACGAACTGGGCATGAAGAGCTATACTATGTTGTGTATGTTGGCTGCGTCCTAATGGCGACCCTTTTCATGCATGGGTGATATTATAAGAAAGTCTGTATCAGGAAAATGACTAGAATGAACTTCAGCAATATATGATACGCATGTCCAGATACAATTTGTCCGTCCAACTGTTTTGTCATGCTCATAAAATACGGACCTGCTATGGAATGTGGTGGATTACTTACGTGCTTGATGCTTTACACAATGCTCCCGACACATATTTCGTTGAATGAAAGACACGTTTTCGTTTCTACCCAACTTTATTTGAAGATGCTGGAATCATTTTCAAAAATGATAAAAGTGATAAAAATGGTTCCCTTTGAAGACCTGTCCATATTGTAAAACCAAGTTAAAGGCAATCTTGTTTTTCCTTTTAACACAGGCTCTAATAATTGGATACTTAATGCTGCAATGGTTTAATATGATGACGAAATTTTGAATTCGGTAAAAAACCATTAAACCCTATTCGTGTGGAACACATTCCGACAGATTTTCAACAAATACCTTGAGAATAACAACAAATCTGATCACACTGACATTTGGACAACACTTGATCCAAAATGCAACTGTCTTCTACTTAGCAACGCATTTCCATTTTGTTTTGGATGTACTTGCAAGATCTTGGCAGTACAACTTTTGTGTTGAAAACTTCACTAGTAGATTCAGGTGTTCAAGATGTTCTTCGATTGCCATGAAAGATGTTCTTCGAATATTTCAATTGTATGTGACATTTTCAGCAGTGAAAAATCTTTTCCTAGTGACATTATTCTGTGTAAATTATAATTTGGATGACATTTATCTGAAATCTTGGACATGGCAAGATCAGTCCAGTCAAGGATGTATAAACTACTTCTTGACATAGAAATCCAACTGCTGAGACTGAAGTTAAATGTCACTCAATTATTAGTAATCTTATTTTTTTTATACAAAACCCTTTTTTACATGATAAATATAAACTTCTTGGACATTAAAAAACAAAATATGCACAATTCTGGAATTTGGGTTTAGTGGAATCAACACAAGAACACTGGTAATAGAATTATATATATTATTTCTTTATTCTATAAAAATGTACATTATATTACAATACATTACAGGCAAATGCCCCAGTTTAAAAAATAAATATACAATATCTGAAACAGTTACAACCTATTTCATCTACAGGTTTTATTAAATATGGTACCATTTACATTTTGATGGAATAATACAATAGTAGTTGAGTTGATTTTGAAAGTTGAGCCACAACATCAAAGAGAATTTGAAGCAACTTAGTACCCATGTTCAAAAGCTTTAACAGATGGAACTAGAATGATGAATTAAAGATTCTTTATTTAACTCATTCACCCCTGAAGTTTCATAATGAACTATTCCAACCTTTGTACTGGAAGAGTTATGATTCAGAATGTATGAGAGATATGGGATTAATATTATCACAGTAGGAGTACAAAAACAGGAATCATAAACATGGAACAATCATTCAAACAAATGTTCTACAAAGAACACTCACTCTCACAAAACCTTTCACAACAAAACATTCGCGCATATGTAAATAAAAACACAATACATACAATATATCACTAACATGGCTTTATATATTGTACAACTAGATTCTTTCTAGTAATGCCAAATAAGAAATAAATGAATCACTAACATTTGTTCATGATCTATCAACAACTGATGTTAATTCTTTCAGTAACGCTACTGCAGTAGTGCTAAATTTGGGGAGGACAAAACCTTGAACAAACAACTACACTGAATACGTATTTCTCAAACAAAGGGAAATGCTGCCTTGGGTCATTTATAGTTATCTCCCTCGGATGTTGCTATTCCTATGATTCATTTTCTCATAAAAACAGTTTGATGTGAAAGGGTTTAACAATGTGAGTTTTCGGGAACATATAAAAGTTAACTTTGATAGCAACATTCTTAAAAGATCATTAAAAATGTTAAGAAAAAAATAATGAAACACTACATTTACTTTGAGAAGCTTTTTTGACAAAGATTTTGCTGGATTTAATTAACTTCATTCAAACTAGTAATGAACTGAATGGTACATTTTATAAAAAAAGGATATTTATTAAAAAATATTCATCCCGAGAGTAAAAAAAAGATGAATGAATTATTGACAATATCTGATCACTTTTGATAATACCAAACATACCTTGTGATGTATGTATTCATTCAAAGAAATTCATCAGGATTTGCCATGAACATTGAGACAGACTTGACCGTACATAAACTATTCAGATTCATCGTAATTATATGTACATTCATTTACATGATACCTTCAATATAATATCATATACAAATATATATATAAATATCCTTTTGATTAAAAGGAACTTGAACAATATTAAAGATATGAGTAGAAATAACACATATAACACATCCTTTGCATTCATAGAGCTATGACCGCAACTGCATCAGTGTCATTTTGAAGCTTCACCCTATAGGACCTTTGTCAGAAGCAAACATATATCTGGATGGCATTTGGCAGTTCCAGAAATGTTGTTTGCATCGACGATACAAAAACTTCAATTCCATGAACATCACTCATAATTATAAATTTTAGAACGTAAATACAGATAAACTTCTGGTACGAATAGTAATAAAACCCTTTGAATTGGATTCAATGCAGAAGCAGTAAGATGTCTATGCATGATTGCTGGTTGAGGCATTTAAAAACAAACAAACATGAACGATCAATGGGACACTACCAGACTCGAAAAAACCCTTTATTACCGGTTTATTTCATTTACCATCCCAATCATTTTTAAGATTAAGGAATTTCTTTAGCTAATTTTGTGCACCCCACATTCCCAAAGACACAAGGTCTTGGGGAGCAGCCTGGTACCCAGGTATGTGCAGAACTCTCTATATAATAAACTTTGTTATAATTCTACCTATCCTATTAACTATCTACCCCACTCTAAAACAACCTTAATGATAGCACTGTGACACTCACCTGACACCACATGTCTTAGTTAGAAGTTACCAAAACGACAAATCTCTAACAACTAGTAATTATTGCAATTTATATCAGTTCACAGATTTTTATAATCTAATTTTGAAGACTTGTGTTACCATAGCAACGAATGTCTGGGAAAAAATATTTTCAAAACACTTCTTGTCGGACTTTAAGTTTCTGTTTACGACCTTTACACCATTTTTTTTTATAAAGGATCCTTAATTATGTCAGACCGAGTGCCAAACCCCATTACCCCGATACTTATGACAACCGTATCAGTTTACAAATTTTCAGAATCTAATTTTAAAGACCTCATTAACAAATGTCTGTCAGAGGACAATGTTATCAAAGCAGTTCTTGTCCGACTCTTAAGTTTCCATTTACAACCTACATACTAACAAAGTGTTCTTAACCATGTCAGTCCGAGTGCCAAACCAAGTGACCCCGACACTTGTGACAAGCGTATCAGTTAACAAATTTTAATAATCTAATTTTGAGGACCTAGTTACTTTAACAACCATTTTCTGGGGACAAGATTATCAAAGCAGGTCTTGTCTGACTATTTTCGATCTATATACCAAGAAAGGATCCTTTACTCATTCTCCCCTGAAATTTCATAATGAACTATTCTAACTTTTGAATTGGAAGAGTTCAAATGTGTCTTCAGGGGTGAATGAGTTAACCAAGTCAGACCAAGTGCCAAACCCGGTGACCCTGACACTTGTGACAACCATATCGGTGTAATTATAAGGACTTGTTTAACAGCTTCTGTCTGGGGACAATGTTATAAAAGGAGTCCTTGTTATACTGACCCAGGATCCTTAAGCTTGTAAGACTTACTGCCCTTAGTGCCAAACCCAGTGACCCGATACTTCTGAAAACAATACTCTAGAATATCTAATTCTACCAACACTCTCCAATCTAGACCCAAGTCAACAAAATGTCTGTCCTATACGTCTATGTGAATCTATGGAAGTCTCTATCCCTACAGTCCTCAGTAGTTGTTTTGTCTCGGTTTCGTCATTTTCCGCAGTGTTGACTGGGCCATGAAGGTGTTGAACTTGTCCACGATGCTGTCGTATCCCCCCTTCAGGGCCAGGTCATGGGCAGTTTCTCCTCGATCATTCTTCCGACCAACGTCAGCATTACATCTACAAAGACGAAATAATAATATAAATAATAAATAATAATAAAGGCTTTATTTATTCTTGATAACATATTGAGCATGAAGCTCATCTTACATTATGGTCAAGGTACAATGTATGATAAAATGTACACTCTGGCCATCCTTTGAAAACTGTCAGCTTTCATGCATGGTGTTCTTGAACTTGTTGTATCAGGCAAACTATGACATATCTATTAAAATCATAGACTGCAGTATATATTTTTGAATCTCAGATTTCATACATGTTTATTTTACTGTTTTATTAAGTATGATAATCGATTCGTACAGTATCTTTTTTTTTCTATATTTTTTTAAATTTCCTAGTTTGCTGTAATTCGTGTGAACCTACCCTAACAAAGCATCAATTGTCTTTAGTCCAGCAGGACCAAGGTTGATTGCATCATGCAAGGGTGTATTTCCTTTCCTGAAATATAATAATACCATAACACATTAGTGGAAATTTACTGAATGCATGATTCTTAAAAAAAGAAAAAGTTCTGCATCTGTGTATAAAATTTTCCTTCATGAAAAAGCTGTATAATATTTCTAAATTTCACACCAAAGTAGCGCATGAACAGTTTTCTGAGTGAATTTTTCCATTGAATTACATTAATTTATAAAAAAAACTGGTACATTTGGAATAGTTTTTTTAAAACTAGTGAAATTCACCACTGTGTCTAACTAAATATCAGCGATATAATGTTACGTCAGTGGAGATTTGTAGATTTTGTATGTTTGCCCTCTGGGCACTCACATGGAGGAGGGTCCCTTCTGGTTGATGTCGGCCCCGTTCTCCACCAGGATGGGGATACAGTCCACTCTCTTGTTCCTTACAGCTACATATATACAAGGCAGCCCATCCTTGTTGGTACAAGTAGCCTCTGCTCCCTATAACAAAGAGAAAGAAAAAAGCAAATTAGATTTAAGGGAGTTTGCTGCTATTTCTATAGGACACAGAGTCTTTATTCCAAAAGAGTTGAACACAAAGATATTTTCTGGAGAGTAGATTGGACTTATTGAGTCCCAGCAGTGTCAACCAATTAACCCCTAAAGCCACATTTGAACCTTACCAAATCAAAGACTGGGCAAGTCTAGTTTAAACATGTAGGGGTGAATGAGTTAACATTGTATCGCCAATGAAGAAGAGTTCCATTTTTTTCAACTTTACTACTGCACAAAAAAACTCTGACATGGTGATTCTTCTATTATGAAGCAGAGCGCTAATCCACTTTGGTCACGATATTTGTTACCCAAAACATGTTTTCTGTTATATTACTCAGAATAATTTCAAAATGTGGTATTAAACTTCTTAACAAGAGATAATGAAAAGTTCTTTTTTCACAACCAATAAGAGTTTCTATGTGATGTTTCAATGACTAGTACGATATGTACACTGTCACCTTCATCAGACAAATGACCAGTGAAGCGTATGCACACAAAGGTGTAAAATGTGTACGAGTTGTCCACAAAATTGGTGTTGATTCGGCTACAGTGTAAGCGTATGTACAATAGTTGTTATATATGTACCATAATGACTCGATTCACCTACGCTTTGTTTAATACAGGGTCAAAGTCAATTTTCATAATGCATACTTAACCTGAAGAAAATGTTTAGAAATATTCTTTACAAGAGGCCCATTTGTAACTTAATTCACTGATTTCTAATTTGAAATATATATGAATAGTCAAAGTATCTCCCCTAATTAAGTCTTATCTGTTTAGAATGTACATATACAAGACCTGACATTGCAGTTGAACAGGCACAGAGATTATATAAAGAGATTATTTTCCTATTGAGGTAGAATAATGCATGTTTATATGAAGTGAAATAAGTGCTTGAGGTACATATGATGTGAAATGAGTGTGAAAATATCTCTTCATCTAAACTCAAGTTTCAATGCTTCATGGAGACCTACATTAACTCATTCACCCCTGAAATTTCATAATGAACTATTCCAACCTTTGAATTGGAAGAGTTAAAATGGATCTTCAGGGGTGAATGAGTTAATATTCATCATCAGAAAAAAAGAAATCTAAAATACATTTAGATATAAACCGAAATTTTCAATTTCCTTTCACAGATCTTACCTCATCGATGAGTTGCTGAACATCTGTGGGGTCACCCTCCCCGGACGAACCCAATTCCTTCAGCAACTTCAGGTCCATGGCCTGTAAGCAAACACACATAGTAGACCTGGCTTATTGAACAGGCTTATCTCGTAGTAAAACAGGGTCAATAAGGGTTATTATAATCAGATCAACAATTTATGAATAATTTATCAGCCAATATGCATATTTGCTTTGCATATATTTCACCATCGACCCACAGGAGAATGTCACAGTGACATGAATACATTGCACTGCACAACCTCTGTTGGTGATGCAGATATTCTTCAAAATTCATCCCAATATCTCCAATTATTTAAAATTTACAGCTCAGACAATATTTCTCTAAAACCTTTTGAACTGACTTGACCTTTGACCTAGTTACAGTGCACTGCACACCTTCTAATGCAGGTATACTAATAATTTATAAGTAGGACCATCACTGTGACAACATCCTGGTTGTATACTTACTGCAATTTTTGGACCTGGCTTCCTCTTGGGCCGTTTCTTTGTGGTTTTTGTTTTCATGGGTATCGTTGTATCATCACTTACTAGTGAAAGAAAAAAAAGACACCCTAACTTAGAATTTACAATCAATCCAAGGGAACTCAAGTTATCGCATGGAAACCTTATTTCAGACGACGCAACCGACGTCGACAAAATAATACCTATATGTCGCCTCGCATTACAGGCGACACAATTAAAGGGGCATAACTCCATTAAAAACTCGTTCGAGCTATATTGGTATGCAATATATGTACCAAGTTTCATCAAGATATGTTCATGAGAGAGAGGCAGGAGAGCGATGACAAGGAAAAACAGTTAATGGACGAACAGGCGGACGGCCAAACAACGCAGCCCATACCAATATACGACTCTCCCAATGACCGGCATATAAAAATAGAAAATAGAATTACTTTCATCGTCACTGCGGTAGGTAGACATGTTGGATCTTTCTGTGTGCATGCTGAGGTAGTCACCAGTGATGCCAAGCTTACGACCGGTCAGTGGGTCCTTATTTCCTCGTATGGCAAATGTTAAGGTAACACTCAACTCATACCCGTCCTCCTGGACAGTGCTTGTCAGCAGCTGAAAAAGACCCATACAAACATTAAGGAAACACTCAACTTGTACCTGCCCTCCTTGACATTTCAAGGGCCATAACTCCAGAAAAAAACAGTCAAATTGCTCACATGGCCGTTCGGCTTGGGTGCCTAAAATTGAAAAAAACTTTAACCCCATAGTGAAGCTAACAATTCTGCTGTAAATTTTACACCAACCTTGCCCATTTTAGGTTCTCCAATAAGTGCCCTGAACTCTGCGTCATTCTGTGCATGAACTTTAAGGTGCTGACTGATGTGTTCAATCTGTTTCCTCCAGTAACCTGACAACACAACATTGGTTTAGATAAGACGCTGACTATAATGGACAACGGACAACTGACATGCTACCACATAAGCTCACTTGCTGTTGGAAACTGGAAAGACATGGATTGATAAGGGACTCATAAGTGCTTAAATCAAAAGAATGAAAATCCAAGCCTTAACTATTGTAAAACATGCAGAAATACAGAAATTTGGGTCATGTAGGTTAAAAACAAGTAATGATGATTATTATTGTAACATATTATTTTATATTATTGTAGTTTACTGTAAAATACAAGCAAAGCCATTGCACAGCGAATCATTTGGAGTAAGTTTTACACGCTGGTGATACCTTTGCCGGGACTGACAGAAGTCAACAGGGGTCTTCTATCCCTCATCTGTTTCTCAAACGCTTCTTTCTCCTCCACCTGCTCCTTTTTCTTGCTGAGACCCTTCTCTGAGGGGTAGAAGAGGCCCACGGTCTGGGTACTGACAGAGGTCGTAGGCCGTTTAGGAGGCGCATCAACCGGGTAACTCACAGGTAGAAACTGTACAAAGGGATTGTTCAAAGAATCGGTTACATTTTATGTTTCTATAAATACAATACACAGATTCCAGTCCTGCTGAGGGAGTTTAAAAGAAGATAAAGATTGTTTTTAAATAATATCATTATACCAAATCAATGCATTTCAACACAAATTGCCAAACTAAGTAGTTAGGGAAGAAGAACATAACCACCTATCAATTGATTGATTGATTGATAGATTGATTGATTGGTTTTACGTCCGCCTCACTACCGAGTAGTTTGGTTATCCAGCAGACGATCCACATATCGAACTCTCCTGTAATACTCGAGGTACTACAAATGACCTTTTTAGCAGGACATAGTATCTATAACCGCTACTCCCATAACATGAGAGGCCGCTGGTCGGCCTTTTTTCAATTGGATATGATTTTGCCGACTGCGACGCCTGTCAAAAGTTTTTCGCCGTGTAAAACCTCTAACATTGTTGGAGTACTATAACCGCATGTGTCCCTATAAATACATCTGGTCAATGGCCTTCTAGTGTATCTGATATCATCACAGTAACATCGAAATTTGAATTCTGAGTGAATAAATGGCCTAATAAAATGGTCAAGGGGACACCTTTTTGATGACCATAAAATGTCTCTAACTACAGATTATTGACAGACTGGTACTCACATTGTTTGGAACAGGAACATGCGTGTTGTCGACGAGATGAGCCCCAGGCAGTGGACCCTCACAGACCACACAGTGGGTAGTGTTGAACGGGACCATAGACTTACAGTACGTACATATGTCCATCTGTGATGCAGCACAAGATAATAATTATGTTGGACAAAAAAAACCATTGTGTTTCCCATAATCCTACCTACCCCAATTTTTTGTGCCTACCCTAAACTTTTTAGGCAATTTTCAATTTTATGTTGTTAAAGTCAACAACATAAAAAAAAAATTGTTACCCACTTAAATTTTTCAAACATGTACAATGTAACAGGAAGCATACATTTTTTTGTTTGGCCTTATCAATATATTCAATAACATGTACTGTAAACAGTATGAATGCAATTTAAGTACAACATTGCTAATATCAAATGAGAATGCATCTCTCATATCAGATCAAATTAAAAAAATAAAATTTGCATCTCAGAACTTGTTATCAAGTAAAACAAAATATATTTGGTAAATACAAAATAATATCCAAGTGGAAACTGTAGCGAAAACTATTTCAAAGTCTACCCCTGTAGTCCCAAAAAGTCCCTCAAACTACCCCTGTAATCGCAAAGTCCCTCAAACTACCCCTGTAATTGCAAAGTCCCTCAAACCACCCCTGTAATCGCAAAGTCCCTCAAACTACCCCTGTAATCGCAAAGTCCCTCAAACCACCCCTGTACTCGCAAAGTCCCTCAAACTACCCCTGTAGTCCTGCAAAGTCCCTCAAACTACCCCTGTAATCGCAAAGTCCCTCAAACTACCCCTGTTATCGCAAAGTCCCTCAAACTACCCCTGTAATCGCAAAGTTCCTCAAACTACCCCTGTAATCGCAAAGTCCCTAAAACTACTCCTGTAATCACAAAGTCCCTCAAACTACCCCTGTAATCGCAAAGTCCCTAAAACTACCCCTGTAATCGCAAAGTCCCTCAAACTACCCCTGTAATCGCAAAGTCCCTCAAACTACCCATGTACCGGTAATCGCAAAGTCCCTCAAACTACCCATGTAATCGCAAAGTCCCTCAAACTACCCATATAAGCGCAAAGTCCCTCAAACTACCCCTGTAATCGCAAAGTCCCTCATACTACCCCTGCAATCGCAAAAGTTTCAGGTTTGCGTACGCTGCATTTTTAGTAAGTAACAAATGACTGACCTTGCGTCCGGCTCCATAGGGAGTAAGGGGTTGCTGTGGAGCCGAGGCCATCAAATTGTTGTTGTATGATGAGTTATAGTAGGCAGCATTTGGTTCTGACAGTCGATCAGCGTAACCGTACACATTCCTAAAATACAAATCATGTGACAAAGGTTTATAAAAATGTTGCAGATAACAATAAAACACTATTACTGTGAAATCAGATATTTTTGTGGGGCCCAAATTTCGTGGTTTGACGGCAAAACACCATTTCTTGGGTACATGAATTTGTGGATTACGAGTATCCACTCAAATGGAGAATTGCTTTCTATCAAACCTTATGGACCTAAGAATTTGTGGATGAAGAATACCCTCAAAAAAATAAAATCCACACGGAAATTAGTGTGATTTCACAGTTTGTAACATCACTGTGCCCAAATCAGGACACTTTTTTAGATAAGTATCAATGTTCTTCATACCATGCATACTGTCAGTTTCAAATATGTTTGTTAATTTTTTCATAAAAAGATACTATCCACTTTTCATTTCTATTACAAGTTGATATTTCGGGTGCATGGTTCTATAAATTAAACGAACAATACCATCCCTTAAACCGGCGTAACCGTACCCTGAAAGGGACACTTCAGTATTTTGGCTAATATTTGGGAATAAACAATCAATATCAGCAGAAAAGAAGAAACATTTCAAATATTTTAGAGTCAAACAGGGTTCTGATTAAATTTCTTCTAAAAACTAGCATTAAATTTGATAAAATAGACTTTTGAAAAGGGAAAGTTTTGTTTTCGTCATATTTCTTACATTTAAATTGGCCATGCAACGATAATCAGCAGCCAATAAAGCTGACATACAGTTAAATTGTCATAAAAGTATTATCAAATGAAAACTGTATACATAAAGGTACTTCTCTGCATGGAATGACAGAGATAGATAGAGTGCCTTTTCATTGTTACCAGAAACCCCCAAATGAGGGATTTTTTTTATCAGGAAAACTGTTATACCCCCAGTTGTTGAGGATAACTCTATGTTATAGAGGACCTGAGTGTACAGAATCTTGAAAATGTATCAAATACAGCCTAAAATCTAAAATCCAGTGGAAACACTGATCTTTAGATTAGACAGTGGAGCCTGTACCGAGAGAGTAGAGCCTGTACCGAGACAGTAGAGCCTGTACCGAGACAGTAGAGCCTGTACTGAGACAGTAGCGCCTGTACCGAGACAGTGCCTCCTTTGATGATACAGTAGGACCTGACTCATCACTACCAGTATATTAGACATTGTCTTTGGACCGTTAACCCTTTCACCACGGTAGACCATAATGGACTCATCCAGATCAATGTATGGTAGAGTCTACTAAAGTTAAATAGGGTTGAAAGGGTTAAGGCACCAAATCTATTTCCTCTACCTACCTCATGTAGTCTGCCTGCTGCTGATGCCGAGAGTTCGGAGATACTGACTCCTGTTGATGTCGGTCCCAGTAGCGGTCATTACGACTTAGTTCATAAGACTTCCCTGGCTACAAAACAAGAAACAGGTACATGTAAACACAATGTATAGTACCTACAGTGTTAAGTCTTCTAACTTCACAGAATTACAGGTTCAAAACAGAAAAAAACTTATTCATCCCTGTTCAAATTCCATAAATAAAGCAAGTAATTAATGATTAATTAGTGGAAAAAAAATCACACCTTGAAACAATTTCTAATTGATAATTTTGACTCATTTTTTTTTAAAAGAATAACTTTTGGCATTTGCTGATCCAGCACAAGTTCTTTGCTATAACTTTGATCAACTCTGCTGGACTGTGTCATTCAAGTGAAGGATTTACGTATAACTTACAGCAGAGGACCCCTCCCCTCGTCTGGAGTTGAGGAACCGAGGCTCGGCCTGAGCCTTGTGTCGAGTGCTCCCACTGACATGCATGTCTGTCAAATAAATCAAAAAGTGGTGTTAACTAAATAATACTAGATTATGTTTATCAAAAGCTAAAAATTATAGACATCCAGTGTATTTCAAACATAATGTCAGATTTATTGTACAAGAAATACATAACGTCTCCATCATAATTCAATGCATAAAATGCTGCTAAATGCTGTGTAACTGTGGTGTTAACTAAATAATACTAGATTATGTTTATCAAAAGCTAAAAATTATAGACATCCAGTGTATTTCAAACATAATGTCAGATTTATTGTACAAGAAATACATAACGTCTCCATCATAATTCAATGCATAAAATGCTGCTAAATGCTGTGTAACTGTGGTGTTAACTAAATAATACTAGATTATGTTTATCAAAAGCTAAAAATTATAGACATCCAGTGTATTTCAAACATAATGTCAGATTTATTGTACAAGAAATACATAACGTCTCCATCATAATTCAATGCATAAAATGCTGCTAAATGCTGTGTAACATCAAAATTTTCTTTAGTTTCTTTGCTTCTGTTTTCCCCCTTAATAGTACAATATAGTAGGTTATTCTGTCACAAGTTTTAAATTATAAAAGTAAAACCTGTCTTAGTCAACAAGTTTCATCATACTACACAAACACGACAGAGGATAAGATATTGTCAGGTGCTATGACCTCTTGGTGATCTAACAAGATATTATGTCACATGACTATCTAAGGTCATGTGACATATGGGCGGATTGGTCAAGTGGTTAACACTCCGGCCTTCCAAGCAGGCGGCCGGGGTTCGATCCCCAAAGTCGCTGTACGCATGGAATATTAAAGAAAGTGTTTTTCTCCTGCCCACACAACTCCAACAACCCAGGTGGAGTATAAAATGGTCTGGGGTGGGTGTTGCGGTATCTGTGCTGTAGTGTTCAAGTGAGGTGGCACTATAAATGATACCGTTGAAAGCACGGTCCCACTACAAACAGAACACAATACATCTCCACCACACACACAGGCATATACACATAGGGAGATATTAGCCAGGTGGCATAGGACTAGTAGTTAGCGCCTGATAAGGCAGCTCCTGCGAATTCCTCAATATTGTATTGATTAATATATATGTTAATTGTATTGACTGTATACATTGTATATCTATGTACTGTAAAGCGCTTTAGAGTGGCTTATGTTAGCTAGATAGGGCGCTATATCAAATGTTATATATATTTATTTTATTTATTTATGTGACTACCTATGGTCATGTGACTATCTTTAATCATTTGACTATCTATAGTCATGTGGCTATATCTGGTTTCTTGACAAATATCAGTAAACACAATTCATTAATTGTGAAAAGTGCCAAAGATGGCATTAAAACCTTAAAATTTCCAACATCAGAATTTTACATGGCCTCAGACCACAGTTAATGATTCCATTTTTTTGTACACAAATGTAGTGCAATTCTCAATTTTAGGCTCGTTTTTAAATGAGTTTTTATTTCTTTAATGTGAAGGAAATGAAACTACATGTTATACCAAAATGAAGCATGATCTTTTTTCCCTTTTATTAACGTAGATTAATTTATGTGAAATTTATTTTGGTGGAAGGGTATGGTTTGTTGTTGGGCTCCTGAGCATAAACTTCAGGGCCATATCATAGTACCATGGAGTTATGGTGACATAATTAAAACTATCTTTAAAAAATGCTGGTCATGAATAGTTTTCCAGCCCACCACAAATGTGTCTTGGATAGCTGAACAAAACCTATAAAAATCATGTCTCAAGCAAAATCAAAGAACATTTTTTAATTGGTTTTTCTTTGGTAAGAACATACAAGGAAGTTAATTGTGGTCTGAGGCTACATGTATATTTTGTCCAAAATTGCACCAATCAGAACTAACAGAACACATTCTAGTATTTTACATAATATTCACGTCCTCTGTACTACAATGTATACCCACCAGCCATTTTCTGGGTTGCACTCTTCATAGCTCCCACATCCGTCCAAGCAGATTTGCTTGAAAGCATCAGGTTCTTGGCGGCCCTATTCACATTCAACTAAAAGGAAATAAGTGTTCTTATATAAATAATCATACCTGCCATCATGAATCCATTTTTATGAACAGTCATTGGAGGTGGGGGGAGAAGTTTTAATTTTGAAATAAGTAATAAATAAACAGTGCAGTAAATGTCAAACAACACATGGTCAAGTGTTGATAGGAAAGAACAAAGAGATTATACAAAATGTCATCAAACTATTTGTTCCATATCAAGTATTTACATAACAATTATGTTTAAAGTTCTGCATTTGAAATTATTTTTACAAATTAGAAGTAGAATAATGATACTTCATACAAGTACCAGGGGTGTAAAAATCCACTAGCCCAATGCCCAGAGCCACCAGACTTTCAGCTTGGGCTAGTGAAATTTAGAGGCTTACTAGCATGGAGCTAGTGGAAAATATTTTTACAAATTAGAAGTAGAATAATGTTACTTTATACAAGTACAGTTTCACAGGTACCATTACACATAAACATTTCTGGGTTGGCACTAAATAATTAGCATATTGGGAAATAGACATTCTGTTACTAGGTTCAATGACGTCTGCTACTTACTCTGCGTTGCTCTTTCTCAATCTCCTGCTGAAATTCTAAATCATCGTCTTCTGGCATGAGAGCGGGACCCGGAACATATTCAACTTCAAACACCTTTGTACAAACGTTACTTTCTCGCATACCATCTCTGCAAAAGTATATTCAACACATCAATTTAGACAGGATTCTGAGTACTGGGTAAATTGGACAGATGGAACTTCAGGTGGTTTACAATGAGAATAATTTCAAGGACAATTTATTCACCCTGACTAATGTTCCTGCAGATTTGTTGAAACTGAATGGAATGTACCATAGGTATGCTTTATGATAGAGGCGTAACAATTCACCGTGGTGCACTTGTACTACGATTGTATTCATGTTCTTTTCCATTCACGATATATTTTTTTAGATTTTCAATTCATCATGATCTGAATATCAGTGCTGCTTCAGCCACAACGTCTGTGACACATTCAATCTCATTGGCTGATTGATAGACCACAGTAACGAAATGAAAATCTGTGATGCTCCAGTAAACTTTGAATCGAAAATGTGGAAACGCTTCAGGTTCCATGTACCAATGGCAAAGTCAACAAAGTACAAACTGTTTAACGGATATGTCTGTGTGTGCGAGCCTTTAAATCGGGCCTAACAACCAACATGGCGCCCATCTAAGCAGAGTAAACCGCATAAAACTGGAAGAACATTCGGAGACCGGCCAAGGAAGATCAAAGGAGAATTTAAAGTCTCATTTTTATTTATATTTTATAATAAAGGTGTATCGAATCAAATTGTGGTACAAATATTGAGTACAAAATCGTGGGTAATGTGTATCAGCTCATGCTTAACTCACTAACAAGAGGACCCTGCGGGAGATTTGCCTGGGCTAAACAGGGTTTTTATCCTCATGAAATACAGTTTATTATTCTTATTATAATTATATATGCTGACTTACTTTGATACAGCTACACTTCGGACTGTCTGTTTCCCTGGAGGTAAAGTAAAAGGGCCCACATATTGCATGGTACATCGAACCACTCCAGTTTTGGGGAAGGGATCTGGCTTTGTACCATTAATTGTGTAGTGGATGTCAACATCTTTAGAGTCTGCAAGTCGTAATACATATAAATACATCACGAACAGTGGTAAATAAACTAACACAGGTATTTACATTACTCTGTAGACAAACACAGAGTCTATCAATTGTCAAAAGATCACACCTATAGCACTATATTAACTCATTCACCCCTGTAATTTCATGATGAACTATTCCAACCTTTGAATTGGAAGAGTTAAATGGTGTCTTCAGGGGTGAAAAAGTTAAACAAGTTTGACACTTGTGAATTGGGATAATGCTTAATAATATACCAGTATACATTTTTTTAATAAAAAAATTCATGAACATGTTCATGTACAGTGTATATGTAAATTGGGAGTAGAGATTTCTGTAAAGTAGAAAGTTCAATCAATTTTCTCCTTGCCATTTTTGACTTTCAAAAAACTAAATTTGATTTTTTTCCCCATAGTATAACTTGAGATTCCTGGAATTTTCCAAATTCTTAATTGGTACGAATAAAAAATCCTATAAAATCTCTGAGAAAGGGAGGGGTTTTCAATCAGTGTCAGTGCTTACCATTATTAAATATGGGTCCCAACTATGCAATAATACTGATATGATATATACATGCATCCTATATCTTTGGTTAAGCATGCAGACTGTATCAACACAAACACTATTTTTAAGAGAACAAAGAAAACACTACCAGAATTGAGCTCTATCTTGGTGTTGGAGTCGATGGATGTTTTTAATCGTCCATGCTGAGGAAGCCGCAGAGGAATGATGGTCGGCACGGCGATGGATCCTGCTGTCATTTTGCTATTTTGTCTGGGTTTTTTTTAACTTCAGTCAATGTCACACATAGCAACTGAAAAATTAAAAGAAACACTTTCTCCATTCTTATTTCTGTTTGATTGGTTAATGTTGAAATGTTTGGCCAATGGCCCAAGATGTAAGAAATTTGATCAGATACAAATGTACCTAAACTTACAGCTTTGTAACCAATTAAATTACCATTCAAATAAGATGACAAGATTTATTATTCGACCTTACACAATCACATTCAGGTCTGTGCATGTATCAAGAAATCAAATAAATAATTATACTTCATTACACAATAGTTATTGAACTAGCAGTAAAGGCAGTTTTACACACAAGCTATACTACAGTTCATGAAGACTCATGCACTACCTTATCCACACCCTACATAATCTTAATTGTTCAGCATTTTATTCAATTAGAAACCAATACATCGTTTCAGAGATACAAGTTTCTGGAACAAAAGTAACAAAATTTGGCACATGATACGATGGTGCATTAAGGGGGCATGGAAACTGCTAGTCTAAAGATAAATCTGTAGCAAATCAACTTCATTGAGCGAAAGGTTAATAAATTTGGACGGAAATCACCAAAATTTCACACCTTTCACAAAAGCTATATATACTGACTAGTACACTCTCATTTGACATGCAGTCAGGAACTGCACATCAGTGTTTTAAAACATTGTTGTGATAGTTGTCAGATTCTCTATGATAACTGAATTTAAGCATGCCCCTGATCACATGACAATGCCAAGGCACAAGTAGCATCTTGAAAACGTCATATTTTCATCTGGAAAAAAAAATAAAAAAAAATTCAGATAATTTTAATTTGCCAAAACTCATTGTTGTCTGCTTAAACAAAATTGCTTGACTGTCATGTGGTCTGGTTCATCTGGCTATTCTACAGTCAATGCCAAAGTGTAGGATGCCCTTATATATGTTTTTTTCTCAGATTTCTTCTGTATCCTTAGTAAATTAAGGCATAATACTATGTACGACCATTGGATAAACCTGCTATGAGTTGATAACCATTTTTGGTTACCCACTAATGGGTAGCACCCTGGATGTGATTTCATTGGTCAATCTTTGATGTCACGTACGTAACAATGCTTTTCGACATAATTTTCCATTGTGACGTCATGCTCCATGGCAATTGTTTCCTCCATGGGAAGCACACATGATGTATTTTCCAAAGGAAAAATGTATGGGGGGTTTTCAGATAAAATATGAATGTTATGGGAGAAACAGGTCCCAAAACTTGTGATGATTAGTTATCAATTTTATCTTACTCTTGTTAGTTAATTTTAAAATTGTAAAAGACACTTGTATCTTTATACAATGTGAAGATTAACTAACTTGAGTTAGATAAACATGATAACCATCCATCCCTCTTTAAGTCTATATATAGTATACAATGTGTGGTATAAATAGGCAGGCACAGTAACAGGGCAAGTAATGGTGTTGTTCAATAACAACAACAGGACAGGAAGGATTGCAATTGATTTTCAATTACTGTAAACTTTTAATAAACAAGTAAAGCATACTGCTATTTATTAAATCTTTCTTTAACCCGTTTATTCAACAAGTTTCACCTTTTAAGGGCTGAGAAACTGGTCACTCATTGCTATCACAGGTACTAGCCTTGTCTGTCAATACACCTATGATTATATTATAGGTGTATTGACAAACGAGGCTAGTATCTGTGATGCTATCATTGTTTTATGTGGGGGGGGGGCAAGAGTAAAGAAGCTGGGTACACAGCGCTAAAAAGTTCAGTATTACGCACTTAAAAGCCCTATTAGAAGATAGTGTAACAGGAAGAGTAGTGTTTGTGAAAATAATTAATGCATGTGCATCTAAAACCTGCATCCGACAACTCTGACAGTGACCCTCTTTTTCTCTCTCTGACTGGTAAACAGACGGTTGACCGCGCGAACCAACCACGCATTCACTGACTTTTTAGACAAAAGTCGTCGTTTCTTTTGGACTTACCACTTCCAATTGATAATTGTGTTACCATACACCTACTGTATGATTAGTTTGACTGTCAATTCGGTCAAATTTCGTGGATTAAAGGAAAGTACCTCACCAAGCACCGGACCTGTTCGGACACCTGCTTTCAGTAGATCTTTCGGATGTTTGTAAACAACGCTGAAGCAGACGGTTGTACAATTCAAGCGCCAGTGAGATAAGGATAATGTTTTGTTCACGATAGCAACGATATTTAAGCGCAAATATGTTAAAGCTGTTTTGATTGGTCCTTTGCTTGGAATGAGTTTTGGGTACTAAATTTCAAATGATGCCATATTTGGGTGCATGGCACTAAATGAATTACGATTAGGCTAGGTAACGTCAAAAATAGACGTAGAAATACAAATTTTAAACGGTCAAAAAATCTTAAGATTTTGAATGTAAACTTCCAGTCAATAAAAAACAAAAAAGCTGAATTCCATATGTACCATGTTAGACAATATAAAACCGATCACAGGAAACTTCTTTAGCAACCTCATTTTTAAACCGTGGAACTCGTTGCCTGAGGAAGTGGTCTCATCAACGAGCCTTAACTGCTTCAAGGAAAGACTAAACAAGTTCTGGAACAATCACCCGAGTAAATTTAACCCCTCATTTTGGTATTAAGACTCATTCTAATACCATACTTAACATCAAGTGACTCAACTAAAATATATGGGGTTTGAGGTTTTTTTAATGCGAACTCTACAACGGAAGGGCTCATCCCTTTTATCTACATGTATGTGAACAAACGAGTGGAATTGTTTTAAATTTTAAATCCCATTATTACTATAGACACTGCTACACTATTATGATTAAGGAAATAATAAGTGCGCAAGGTGAACCGGAAAAGTAAGTCGCGAGTGAACGAAATAACAATGATGCATCACCACAAGCTTGAACTAGCTTTCAACGATGCCACATCAGCAATTCAGCAATTCAGATATTGTCACAGGAACAGAAACCTGGCTATCCGATAACATCATCTTTAAGAAACAGTAATGACTTTGTAATACCAAATTTCAGACTTTCTAGTATAAATTCATCCTTCTTACCTTCTACGCTTCGCTCTTGGAACAATTTAGATACTGCTAAAAGATCATCGGTCACTTTAGGAAGATTCAAAAAAGCCATCTCTCGAGAATCGGACACCAAATCGCCCAGTTATTTTGGTTATGGTGAACGAAAACTAAATATCATTCACACTAAATTAAGGTACAACTGCAGTTCCCTAAATTATGATTTATTTAGAGTCAATATCGTAGATAGTCCCGCCTGTGTCTGTGGATCTCCATGTGAAAACGCCTATCATTTCTTTTTTGAATGTCCAGTTTATACACACCAGAGGTTTGAATTGTTTCAAAATCTAAATTTTGTTAATGAAATCTCCTTAGATATATTGTTATCTGGTATTCCGGATCTGTCTTCTAAACAAAATAATGATATTTTTCGTAACGTGCAAAAATTCATAAAGACCAGCGGTAGGTTTTAATTCGTAAGGCGTTTTATATTTCTATACTCAATTTGTGAGACTGTTCAATGTTGTTCTTTCTCTTTTTCTTTTTCTTTCTCTTTTTGTTTCTGTTGTTGTAATGCTACTATTATACATATTATTTGATACCCAGTTGTGCCATGTTTGTAAATCTGATGTATATATTTGAGGAAAGGGCGTAAATAATGTTGNAAAACATCATCGATAGTGAGGTATTTCCTAAAACCCTGGGATATAGCCCATTTAGCTTGGACAGAAAAACAGGTGCTGGTACAATATGTATTGAACAACCAACCACATCTTACGACCAACTGTGAGTTGATCTGCGTAAAATTAGAAATCTGTGGTTCTAAACCGCTATATGTAGCCTCCTATTACAAGCCTAAGAATCATGATAAGGTGAGTGTGGAAGAGCCTGCTAAATCATTGGACACATTCAAACAAAAAAACATGCTGAGTGTCATACTTAGATATTGGGTGATTTTAATTTCCCCAAATTCACATGGGAGGACTCTATACCAAACTTGAAGTACGATCAGCCCATCACTCCCATATACCATGATTTCATCAATATCATGGACGAATCATAACCTTGACAAATGGTAAGTAGACCAACCCGCGAGGATAATATCCTGGATCTTTTCCTGACAAACAATCCCACCTTGGTCAGTCGAGTTACCACACTACCAGGTTTGTCGGATCACGAGGCAGTGTATGACGAGGTAAGTCTGCAAAGTAAGTCAGTCAAACAGAAACCTATAGGTCTATACACTCGTACAAAAGGCAGATAGGGGTAAACTCAAGGTAAGAATGAAGTCATTTCAATCAGACTTCATAAAGATCTCTGGTTTGAGTTTACCTCAGAACTCAACACCGGTATAGCTGAAGCTATCCCAACAAAAAATGGTAGGATCCAAGGAATCCCTTCCATGGATAACGCACGAGATCAGGCGCCATATCCAGAAAGGAGACAGTCTGTACTACAAGTACAGGAAGTCTCGGATGGTAAGAGACAAAAATAATGATTTGCACCATAAACACCTGACTCAGAAGTTAATCAAAACATCACACAACAGATACCTCGAAGAACTCCTCGGTATACTGGAAACAGAAGATCCCAATCAAATAATAATAATAATATACAACATTTATATAGCGCCCTATATAATTTGTAAAATTACTCTAAGGCGCTTTACAACATATGGATAATAGTAATGGTTATAATTATGAAAACAAACAACAAAAGCTTGCAATCACTTTCATACATTTAACAAGCAATGTGCACATAATTGAACAAATAAAAGGGTGGTATTTACATGACGTCTTTGCAAAGATTCTAAAATGCAGACGTGAAGAGGTGAGTTTTGATGTCCCTCTTGAACTTGGCCAGGGTATTTGACTTCCTAATATCATATGGTAAGCTATTCCACAACGTAGCCGAAACCCTCCCAAAGCATCTGTTTCCGTAGGTCACAGTACGAGATTTTGGGACACACAACAAAGATTCTGACTCCGACCGCAGTGATCTTGACGGCTGATACAGGG